TCTACTAAAAAACATTAGTGTACATTGAAAAGCATTCATTAGAACTATTAAGTGAAATTTTAATAACAATTATAAATTTTTATTATAATTTTAATAAACATGAAGAACCTACTAAGTATACTTTAAGTTTATGTATCCCTTGATAGGCAGTATATTTTACCTTAGTAAAAAGCCTAAATACATACTTCTGAATGAAATGGCTTTTCTTTATATTAAATTCTACATAAACAAAATTTCTTTTAAAAAAATTATAGGTCAGAGTAATAGTAATAAAGGAAAATGAATTTTCTTGAAGTTTTTCAGAATTAGATAACTTCATTTAAAGATGGAAATTAAAATAGTAAGCCATCCAGAAATTTAAAATCATAAAACAAGTGTATGTGAAAATTAAATAAACAAAGAATATTTTGGCTTCCTTTTGGCAAGTCTTCCTGATGCCCAATTCCCTAATGCCGGAGCATGAACAACTGAACAACAATAATGATCAACACAACTAAATCTCAATAAATAATTACAACTACATTATTGTTTTTATTTATCAATGACAGATCTTTTTACTTATTTTTTAGATTTCTATTTATGACAACTTGTCAAATTTATATGCAGAATTATTTATATGTACATACTTCTTTTTAAGGAAAAAAACAATGCAAACAAACACGTATTTCTCCTAATACCCTTTCTTCCCTACTCCTTCTGTATTCTCTCTCTTCACTCAACTCTCTGATACTCTTTCACTGTCATTAAGATAATATCTTATGTAGGAAACATAATAAAAATACCAATTCCTAAGATGAGTTCTTAAAAACTTCTGATCTTCAAAATGTTCCCCAACTTTCTAATAAGCTCCCTACTTTCATAATTAAAAAAAAAAACTATCAAAGTATAAACTAACTTCAAGGAAAAATAAAATATTTCCACCAAATTGTAATTTACTCTAAAATCAAATGACTCTGTAAAACAGTTTCTGCTTTGTAAGTAAATATCAAATAGTTGGCCATAAAACAAAAATAAAAACAGTAACAAAAAAAGAAACTATTACAATTTCAGTAAAAACCCTACATACAACCAAACACAAAAATTACAAAAATAGGTTGAACATTTTCTTCATCATCACTTCTTTTTCCCAACAGACCTTTCTTTTCTTACAATTTTCTGTCTAGTTAATAAAAATCTCACCTCATTTCATTAGATTAAGAAAATGGAAAAGACTAAAAAAAAAAACCTAGGCCTCTATTTTTCTCCATATTTATATTCACTTTCATGCTATCTGAACTTACACCAGATTTAGTTTCAGGTCTCATGGTTCTGGTCACATCATCTCATAAGACATAGTGTCATATTTTTTAAAGTAAAAATTTTCATAATACATTCTTAAATATACTTTAAAAAAGAGCACATAACTGAAAAACTAGAAAAATGGTCAATTACACAAAAAAATCACAGATATGCAAATAAAAGAAATTTACATTTTATTCCAAACTATTTCTTTCAGAATACTAGGATAAACATTACCCTCAACAAAAACATGTATTAATTAAGTTTCAATATCACCTGATTCTTTTCAAAAACATTAGTCATCCATTTTTAAACAGTTTCAAAACAGCACACTTTATTTTAAAACCTGTACATTTGTCATTTATTCAAATCAAAAGTACATTTTCACTCAATTTTTTTAAACTTTTTCTTTGTAAACTTACAATTTTAGTAACATCATAAATACATGGAGGGGGAGAAGGTGGGCAAGGGGGCCTAGTAGGGAGGGGAGAAGTGAGCAAAACAATGTACACACATGGGAATAAATGAATAATAAATAAATAAGTAAATATATTTATATTTCAAAGACAGTCAAGGCAAATAGATTATGCAAATCATAAGACATTAAAAGGGAAGAGGATTTGTTTTCTTTTTTCTTTTTTTAATTCCTTTATCCACATGTGCATACAATGATTGGGTCATTATTCCCTTCCCCCCACTCCCTCCTTTTTCCCTCACCCCCTTCTCCTCCCTCACCTCCACCCCCTTGCTTCCAAGCAGATACTGTTTTGCCCTTATCTCAATTTTGTTCAAGAGAGAGTATAAACATTAATAAGGAAGACCAGGGGTTTTTGCTAGTTGAGGTAAGGATAGCTATATAGGGAGATTCCTAGTTTTGCTTCCATGTACAAATGTGTTACTTCCTAAATTGATTCTTCTCGAACTAACCTTTTCTTTAGTTCCTAGTCAAAAGACACCAATATTTAGTCAAATGACAATAATGTCTTCCAAATGATGGCCAAGGTATATGACTTGTAGAGGTAAGATGAAAGACAAAATCAAGAATAACAGACCCAAGAAAACAAGTTGGAAGTCTGTATAAAAGACTATTCATTTACTCAACTGATACAGGTGAATTTTATATATTTCAAAAGTATGAGCATAATACAATTGCCCTCACAAAATATATATAATTTGATCATTTTCCCCAATACATACCTATGTAAAAGAACTAAATGGGAAATTGGAAAAAAGGGAGAAACATTCCAATCCTATTTGAAAGAATTCAAGTTTTTAAAAAAAGACAAGAAAAACATACCCAACCCCACTGTAAACTGCAAAGAACATGAACAATTTGAAATAGAGTAAACAGCTAACAAAACCACAAATATATTTGACTCAACTGCAACTTGCAACTGTAATTTTTTGTGTATTAATTTTTTTTATCTGTCATCTCACATAAGGAAAGAAAATTACAAAACTAACTACTATTGCAAGATAGAATTTGCAGGCAATGCATTGTTCTGGATCTTTCTTATTATGGAAGCCTATCCAAATATACCCTATCTTAAAAACTGAAAAGACATACTATTTGTGCAGTATGTATTCTTCTACAGCTCATGCCCTATGTCTATCTCCCCACAACGCCAGTGTCCCTGGACATGTGTTCTACTTTTACAAAAGTTGCTTTAGGATGACCATTCCTTTTTCTATTTAGGCTTTCATTCCTATTACCAAAATGCCAATAAACCACTCTGTGTTGCTGAACTCAATATGATACTTCTCTCTCAGCATAATAAATACATTCAGTAAATAAATAAATAAATAAATAAGACAGTATTTTTTAGTAATACCTGGTATTAAGCAGGCAATCACATTTGTTAGTGTTTTATGTAAAACTAGACATTTCTATGGCACCAAATAGTCACACTGATTTTCTTAAATTAAAAAAAAAAAAAAAAAAAACCTAAATTAATACAGCCATAATGTCTTAACTCAATCAGGCCCATTCTACTTCTTAATTATCAACAGGAACAAAAATACACTAAACAGAAAAATGTATTCATGATTATAAATTTTAATATTTTTGTTCAAAAAAATAATTTTTTGTTCAAAAAAATATTTTGTCATTTTGTCAAAAGATAAAATAAATATTATACTTAATGTACTTACTTTCGGCACTGGACAAAGTACAGGGATTGCAGTCAATCAAAGCTAACTGAAAATGCTGCAAGAGAAAAGTGAAAATGTTAATATATTAAATTTAGACTTGCATAAATTTTTTTTTATTTTAGCTTTTAAAGTTACAATAGGATAATGTAATCGTGCTATACAACTAAAAAGCTCTATTCCATCAAGTAACTTACTGTTATTCAAAATTTATTGTTTGGCTAGAAGTATAGTCAAGTACCTACTAAAGTCCTGAATTCAAGCTCTAGTACCAGGTCCCCCAAAAAAGTTATAGCTAAATATTGAACTATTAAGTTACTTCTATTAGATAACTAAAATAGAGAAGGAGAAGGAAGAATTAAGTTCCTCAAGTTAATATTTATTTTTATTATATAAAATTTGCTTAGCATAATATTTGAATCTTCAATTGAACAAAATATTAAATTATAAAAATGTTTAATGAACCAGGTCTGCTTCATTTTCTGAAACTCTAGAAAGTACAACTGTATTTTTTTATAATATTAAAGTTTGTTCTACATGTTATTACTGTAATAAAACAAATTAGAAAACATTAAGAATTAGCATGAATAAAACATATCCTTTGATTGTTTAATCTCATTAGACTTCCAGACACTTTGAACCCATAACCCTACATATGTACTTCAAAATTTCCACATTGAAATTTGTATATGAATGCTGTACTTTTAAAATACATTTAAATTATGAAAGTAAAATATGTTAATCATTAATAAAATGCTGAAATCTATTTTTATAGCTCTACATTTAACCATATCATAAGCCGACAAAGAATAAGCCATTTAAAACTTTGTTTATAAACAGTGCATTCTAAAAACACAGTAATATTAAGACACGGAAACATTAAAAAAAATGTGGCTAAAAACCTAGGATAACATCTGACATCCATATTTTATCAACTGCTTAGAAAAACACAGTCACTAGAGTTCTTTTAATTTAAATAAAAATGAATGTCTCTTTGAAATGTTTTGCCAATTATTCCCATTAAGTGTGCAATTTTTCAGAATATCTACTAATTTTCAAGAATTAAAGAATTACAATACCATCTTAAAAGATCAAGCTATTTTAGAAGTAAACTATAGCATCATCCTATGTATACTTTAAATATTTTAAACTGTGTTAGATATATATAATGTTTAAAATGGTAAGTAATACATGTAGACCCAATAGTATTTTCTTTGTTAAGTTTCCAATATAAAAATCAGTGTGGAATCATTAATTAAATAGAACTCTCATTAAGAGCATTTTCAATAAGTGGTACCTGGAATGCTAAGAGCTGTGTTTAAAAAAAAAAAGGAAGGTGAGCTCTTAATTTTTACAACTTAAAATGTTTCAGAGCCATTATCTTAAAGAGCTAAAATGATGAAAACTATAGGAAAAGACCACAGCAAGGAAAAATCATCAAAACATCACATTTGGCTATGAATTTTCTGATACCTGTGGATCAGGCAACACAGATAATCAAAAACTGGGCTTCATCAAAATTGAAGAGACTACAAAAAATGAAGCCCACAAAATGTGGGAAAATATTTGCAGATCCTAGATCTGAAATAAGTTAAAGACTTCCCTCACTAAATCATAAATCCCTTAAATAACAAAGTGTATAAATGTGTGTTTTCAGGAAACCCTCCAGAATCCACTCAGGAGAGCTTAAAACTGACTTTTCTAGAATATATAACCACAGAAAAAGTCACTTCATCCAGTTAATGACCCAAGCTCAAAATCCACTATGCAGAACTCTGATAACTCCCCTCAACAAATACATGACCTGTCAAGAAGCATGATAACCATCCAAGTTGCACAAAAGAACACTAAAACTTCTCCTTCTCACCATCAAATTAACAAGCAGATCTTCTCTCTTACTATAAATAACCCTGATTTGGGAGGTAGTCCACTTTGCAATAAAGTTCTTCCTTTTTAGAAAAACCAACTCCACAGTATTGGTTTCAAGGCCACAGCAGGCAGCAAGACCTTGCTCAGTATCATATCAAGTAAGAGGTTACTACTGATACTACATAAAGAATTAACACAGCCAAGCACTGGTGGCTCACACCTGTAGTCCTAGTTACTCAGAAGGCAGAGATCCTTCTGACTTCCTGGTTTGAAGTCACCCCAGGCAAATAGTTCATAAGATCCTATCTTGAAAAATTCCATCACAAAAAAGGGCTCAGGGTGTAAACCCTAAGTTCAAACCCCAGTTCCACAATCAAAAAAGAAAAACTCAGTGAAAACAACAAAAAAATTAAAAATGGGCAGAGCATCTCAATAGGTAGACTCTCAAAGAAGAGATAGAAAATGTCAATAAATATGTGAAAGCCTGCTTAAAAATTTTAATTATTTTAGCAAAGCAAATTAATCTACAATGTTTTGTTGAAGAGCTAAAGGAGTTATTCTCAGTAAAGCATAAAAAGAGTTCAGAGGAGCCAGAAGCCTGTAGTCACTGGCTCATATCTCTTATCCTATTTAGAAGCTGAGATTGGGGGAATCACAGATTTAAGTAGAAGAATTTGAGAGACTCTTATCTCCAAAATTACCAGAGCAAGGACTGGTGGTGTGGCTCAAACTGTAGAGTATCTACTTTGCAAGCATAAAGCCCTGAGTTCAAACTCCAGCACCTCTGCATCCAACCCCATAAATAGAAGTCAGAGATTCAGAGTCATGTTGCTAAAAATATGCTAATTCTACCATAAAGATCTCTTTTGAGCTATGCATAAATAAAGAAAAAGACAAAAAAATCCTCCACCCTCACACACTCTACCAGGAAGGACAGGATGACTGAATCTCTGGAGAACTCTAGACTCTTAACAGCACACAGAGGCAGAACCAGAGGAATCTGTACAACCTTACTTCACCCATCTTCTATTAATTTTCTGCAACGAGCACACACTCAATTTGCCAGCCCTAGAATCTGAAAGTTCCATTTCTTTATCTTTTTACTTCTGTTACCATACTGTTCTTTTGTTAAGAATGCTATAGAAACCCATGTTCTAATCAACCCCCAGAATTACTCAATATGGATTTCTGTCTGTAACATACAATGTATATGCCAGTAAATTTGTTGATTACTCTCTTGTTAATTTTTCTTTTACAGTGTAATTTGCAGAGCTCCAGTCATGAATGAATCTGAGATGACACAAAGAGAAAGGTTTTTTTTTTTCCTTCCCTATATTCACAAAACAGAACTGGAGTTATAGCTCAGAGGTAAAGTACTAGCATGCCAATAACCTGGGTTCAACTCCTCATCACACACACACACACACACACACACACACACACACACACACACACACACACGATAACACAAACCTTCTCAATAAAGCAAAATTTGTAATATATATTCTCTGTGATAATATACTACAATTTACAAGATGTTCTAGTTGCAGGAAACTGATAGTATATAGGACCTCATTCTATTATTTTTCACAATGGCATGAAAATTTACAAGCTGAAAACTATGAGAGAAAACTATTGAATTAGGAAAAACCCAACATTTGAACACTGTAAGACTGCTTTTATTTTTCCATGGTCTACAAAGCCAAATGTATATCCTTACTATGTTACCAGAGAAGAAAAGACAAACTTTCTAAATTGTGTGAACTATTAAAAGTAAGTTTACTTTATAATTATTTTCTACACATAAACAGGGCAGCAAAATATCCATACTTGTGACTGTACTACATTTACAAGTCTAATCTTAAAAACATTTATTAAATACATATAAAAAAGACTTTCCCTAAATGAGTTGTCAAAGTATCAGTAGTAACCTGAAAAGAAAGTAGCTGCTAAAAAAAAAAGTAGCTGAAAGTTCTGCAGAACTACTATTACAGAAAAACTTTAGATGTATCACAATTTAAACTGTTCAGACAACAGTATTCAAGATACTACAAAAATTGCTGGGTGCTTGGCAGCTCCCATCTGTAAAGCAAGGCTGATCAGGAGGATCATGGTTCAAGATCAGCCAAGGAAAATAGTTCTTAAGACACCCATCTCTAAAATAACCAGAATGCTCAAGCGATGGGGTACATGCTTTGCAAGTTGAAGCCCTGAGTTCAAAAACCTGTCCCACCAAAAAAAAAAAAAAGATTCCACAAAATGAAACTTGTCAAGAGCAGTAAAAATTTGTGGAGTATTATAAGAAATTTTCTGCATTACTAAGTTCCAAACCTCAAACAACATATATGTAAATATGTCAAACATTTTTAAATGATAAATACTTTGAAATATATACTTCAGAGCAAAATATATGAAAATAAAAGACTCTGGTGTGTTCACTTCTAGTAACCAATCCTCAATCTAGTTACATAATGCTTAAATTAACTCACTAAAACTTTAGAAGGGCAATCATCCTGAAGTAGTCAGTTTAATCTTATTTCTCTGGGCTTAAATAGTCATACTGCTACTCCATTACTACAAAATAAGATTTTGAAGCTCTAGCTCTCAAATTTACTACAAAATATTTAATACATTGTAAGAACTTTTGTAAATGCCACAACAGCCAGAATATGAAAAAAATATGCTTTTTGACTTATATTTCCTGGTTTTTTAATGAACATTTCATTGAAAGATGGAATGTAGCACATTTTAAAGACAAAAACAAAGGATGCATACAACTTATTAGGATGTGTTGTATAATGGTAGGTATATTTCATGTCCACAAAAAACAAAACAGATATAATTTAAATTTTATTTCCATCAAAAAATATTCATGCACAAGACATCCTGAATTCATTTATTTACAATAAGGTAGTTAACCTTAATTATAATATAGGCTAAAATGTTAGAACTAATTCTTTTTTTAAAATTTAATTTTATATTGATGTATCTAAAAATTTAATGTTAGCGCTTAAATTTCCTATTTTCAGTTTTGCTTTTGTAGTCATTTTACCTCTACTTTTATAAAAATCTCTATTTTCTTTATGGTATAATAAAGCATATATATATACACAATTCATTAGAAATTTTGTTTAATTGGAACCAGTAAAATTTAATCAGTGTAAGCACACAGAAATAATAACAATAAGCCTTCTTAAATTCAAAGTTTTCCTATATAGTATATAAAATTAAGCAGTGTATAAAATGAGTATCTTTATAACAATTACCCAAATAATCCCAAAAACATTCTTATCCTTCTTGGCACCTGGCTAGTGGTCTAATGAAATGAAACTGTAAAAAACTTATTGTAAAGGCACTTAAATGCATGACACACCAGTAATAAAACATGAGCCTACTGTTTTTGTCCTTTCTATAAGCTTTAGCATCAATGCTATAATTTCCTTATTCCTTTCATATTTTCTTCTTAGATCAGCATTTATTATTTTCACAAGTAAGTAACATGGAAACAAGACATTTAGCAGTATTCCAAGCAACGATCCCCAAGTTCTCACACAGAATGCTGTCAGGAGCTTTCAGTACAAAAAAAAAAATTCTGTACCATATCACTGCTGGTAGCTCACACCTATAATCTTAGCTACAATAGGCTAAGATAGGAAATTTCATGGTTTGTGTCCAACCAGAGAAAATAGTTCCCAAGACCCCCATCTCTAAAATAACAAGAGCAAAATGTTCTGGAAGTATGGGTCAAGCAATAGAGAGCCTGTTTTGCCAGGACAAAGGCCTGAGTTCAAACCTGCATCTCACAAAAAAAAAAAAAGGAAAAAGAAAGTGCTTTTACCAAAATATTTTTGCAAAATTAACATTGCTTGAAGGTTTCTTACACTTATACACTCACCTAGCCTAATCAAGCAAACAAGAATACTTCATGAACATTATCTAGCTTGCTCTACCTGTTAAAAGAATTTTAAATACTACCATTTCATTTAAAGGACAACTTTGTATCTACAGAACTCTTCAATACACCACTGTATTAGTACTTGGTTAAATCTTTTTCTCCATTAATCATATATACATATATATTTACAGAAATATAAATATTTATGGAAATAAATGATCTTTTGTTCTTACTCATTTCTCTTTACAATTTATTTCCAGAAGCACAGTCACAAAATACTGCTGAATCATGATAAATAAGTATGGAATATTTCTTGCAATAAGATATATTAGAGTCTTTAGCCAGGTGCTAGTGGCTCACGTCTGTAATCGTAGCTACTCAGGAGGCAGAGATCAGGAGGATCACAGTTCAAAGTCATACTGGGCAAATAGTTCATGTGACCCATCTCAAAAAAACCCATCACAAAAAAAAGGGAAGGGGGGGAGGCTAGTGCGGTGTCTCAATGTGAGACTGTGAGTTCAAACCCAAAATCAGTACAGCAAAAAAGAAAAAAACATTACATATACATATATATATATATGTATACATATATATATATATATGTATACATATATATATATATGCCTCTGATAAGATAATGCATACACTGACGTTCCAAGGTTGTTAAAATCTGTAGGATGGCATAGATGTAATTATTTCCTACTTCATGCACACCATTTCCTACTTCATAGCACATGGCATAGATGTAATTATTTCCTACTTCATGCACACCATTTCCTACTTCATAGCACATGGCATAAATGTAATTATTTCCTACTTCATAGCACACCATTTATAAATGCTGAATAAATAAATATAAATATAATATAAATATAAATGCTACTTCATAGCACACCATTTATAAATGCTGAATTTGAGGAAAGTTGGAAAATTTTACCCATTTTCCACACCACTTGCACTTAAAATGTTGGATTTATGCTTCAGCCATACCTTTCTCTGAACAGCACAATCTAAATTAAATTCTTTATAGTATACTTGCCATGGGTGTTAATGTTTTTAGCTATGTACCATCAATATCATTCTTTTAAAAATTCATATGTTGGAATTATAGGCTACCTCTGTAATGACAGTTACTTGGAAGGCAGAAACAAAAAAACCAAGAGTTCCAAAATGTACCAGTTCAGGCAAACACAGCAAGACTCTGCTTTAAAAAGAAACAAGGGCTGAGGATATAGCTCTGTGGTTGAGTGTTTGCCTAGCATGCATGAGACCCTGGGTTCAATTCCCAGTACCAAAAAAAAGTTCTTACAAGAAACAAACAAAAGAGGTGTGAATATATAGCTCAAAGGGCAGAGTACTTGCTAAGCAAGTTCAAGGCCAGAGGTCCAATTCCCAGTACTCAAAGAAACCAAATTTCAGAAAAAGAAAATCAAGCCAGGTGCTGGTAAAAAACTGAAGAAAATAGCTCCCACCTGTAGTACTAGCTACTCAGGAGACAGGGATCAGGAGGATTGAGGTCCAAAGCCAGTACAAGCAAATTATTTTCAAGACCCTATCTCAGAAAAACACTTCACAAAAAAAAAAAAAAAAAGAGCTGGTAGAGGGGCTCAAGGTGCAGGCCCTGAGTTCAAGCCCCAATACCTAAAAAAAAAAAACAAAGAAAGAAAATCATTAAAGGCACTGTATAGGATGCAGTAAAAGAATAAATCAAGGCTAAAAGGCTTCAAAGAAAGCTCTGGCAATCAACAGGGTGAAAGTCTCCAAGCTCTTCGAATACCATGCCTGAGATATCTTACCTGGGGAATGGGATCATCCCAAATAGTTTTAAAGCTAACAGTTATTTACAGTGAAGGTATGGAGCAACAAGGTCTTAGATTTCTCTTATACAGAATGGTCCTTAACTAAGGTTAGTCAGTCAATTGCTCAAGTCTATAATCTGATCACCAGTATAAACATTAGAGAGCAAGCTCAGTGAGCTTTCCTGGTTAGGCAATATTTTATTCGTGTTGTCACACACTAGTGTGTACGCTGCTCACATGCCTGCAGTAGAAGCGGACAAGTAGAATTTTGCCTCTGATCTTTCCTAGACTGCCATGCCTTTTTGTTGTTCTTGTTGTTGTTTTGAGATACTGGAATTTGAACTCAGAGCCCAACACTTGCTAGGGAGGCACTCTACCACTTAAGTCACTGTACCAATTCTTTTTTGTGTTGGGTGTTTTTCCAAATAGGGTCTCCCCAACTATTTGTGCGGGTTGGCTTCTAATGGCGATCTTCCTGATCTCTGCCAAGTAGATAGAATCAAATGCATGAACCATGGGTGCCCACTAGTCAGTGTCTTTCTTAAAAATAATTTTGTTCTGTTTCTCTTCATTTTAATAAACTGTAATTATAACTGTGATCTAAGGCCTTCTTAAATGATCATTAAGAAATGAAGATGACTTGGCCAAGTGGATCATGCAGTAAGAGCACCTACCTACCGAGCATGAAGCCTTGAGTTCAAACCCCAATGTCACCCCCTACCCCAAAAAAACTTGAAGAAAGGAGGATCATAATTCAAGGCCAGCCCAGGCAAATGTTGGCAAGACCCTATTTCAACAGCAAGTCCAATATAGTGTTACATACCTGGGTTCCCAGCTACTTGGAAGGTAGAGGAAGCAGAATGGTAGTTCAAGGAAGGCCAAAATTAGTACAAGACCCTATCTGAAAAAACTAAAAAGCAAGGGAACTAGGGACATGGCTCAAGTATTATAGCACTTGCCTACCATAACAAAATAAAATAAAGCTTGGAGGATGGTTTGGGGGACACCCAAAGGCAGAGTTTTTAAAGCTTAATCAAGCTGGGCACCCATCAACAGAGACCCATACAAACCAGTAAGTCAATGACTACTAAATAGCATCATTAATCAATTCTTTTTCCTCTCAGTGGTGGCAAGAAAATAATGTTGATGCTGAAATGAAATCAACACAATTTCCATTTCCTGATCACAAATTTCTTAAAACAAAACCCCAAACTTAAGATTAAGAATTGAAAATTTAAGCATTTATTTTGCATTCTGAAACCCAATCCCTCCTTTAGTTCATTTCCTAAGTTTTCCAATTTTTATAAAGCTACCATATATCCCAACACTTCCCAAAAAGATTTAACAGTACACAAACACATACACATATACCGACAAATAGTGTATCTGGGGAAAAAACCCAACCACCTACCTTTAAACTAGATTCATAGTCTGTATTTATTTTGAACATAAGCCCAAGCCGTAAATGAATTTCCTTGGCTCGACAAAAGCTGGGGTCAACATAAAGCACATCTTGAAATGCTTTAATTGCCCTGAAAAAACATAGACATAAAAAACTTGTAAGTTTAAATTACTTGTATTTTGCTTGATTCTAAAGGAAATATTCTAGCTATCTACTTTTAATAGAAATACCTATTTTATAAAATCAATATGAATGAGTAGTTTTTAAACTTTTTTCAGAAAACAGGATGCTCAGAATGATTTCTTCTCCATTTTTCTAATTATTTGACAAAACTTAAAGTTCTAATAAAAATTTCAATACTAAATAACTGACTTTAAAGGAATAGAAGAAAGTTCCTGAAAAGGTAAGAGGAGGAGGATATTAGCACTCATTCCATTGTGTTCCATTAAAGATAAATTTTACAAGTTTTATTTTTACCTATTCTTATTTTAGTTTATAGTCTACTTGGAAACTGTTCTAAGTAACCCTAATGTAGAAAAGAGTTTTTTTTTTTTTCCATATGGGTTTCCTGTCGTCTAATTTAATTTGGGAAAAAGACTATTCTTCCACAAAAAGACAGTATCACCGTTATTGTAAATAGAGGGCTACTTTTATATAATACTACTTCTGTGTTTTTTAACATAATTCAATTTTCATAGGTCCATCAACTACTATCATCTTAATTTTATACTGTTTTGACTACTGCGTCTTTTTAAAATGTCTTGGTTACCAATGAAAAAAACTCAGAGATAACAGTCATCTTGAATATCATTTATTACTTTAAGAGTTACCACTAACTTTTATTCTAAGTATTCTAAAAATCAAGAGTCAATTTTTTTAATTTTAAATTCATTTCTCCAAACACAGTAAATGTACCAATTTACAAACTTAAATGTTTACAAAATAAATGTAAACTTTCCTCTATACAGTACAAAAAGATTGTGACACCACAAAAATCAGACAGAGCAATACTGTTATCAATCTTAGGGAGTTTTCTTGATAATTCATTCCTACTTCTAAAATTCTGTGATTAAATGTGTATTTACTCTAAAGTTAAGCATTTTAAAAGAAAATAATTTATGAGTAATAGACATCTTATAAGTGACACATCAAAAGATGCATTCATCTTTCACAACTATTAGAACCTAACCAAAGAATTAATAATTGACTCTATGCTAGCCTTATAGTCACTGATTTTACACTTTTACCATCAGTCTAGGGAGGATCATAAATTATAACTATGTGAAAATTGACCACCAAGCACTTTACTCAACTGTTCATAAACTAAAATTTCTTGTCACCAAAATCACAGTAGAGTTTACCTAATTTAATTCTAACTAGCTAAAATGATAAATTCAAATGCTCAAAGGAACAATCATAAATACTGATTAAAAATAATCATTTGTGGGCTGGGATATAGTTCAGTTGTTGAGCACTTTCCTACCACGTACAAGGCCCTGGGTTGGATTACCAGCACCAAAAAAAAGAAAAAAAAAACAAATCTTTATATCTTTACACAGTGCAACAACAACAAATTATTCCAGTTAGTACAATTTAGCCTTAGTTCTAACACTGACTTTTGTAACCTTCTATACTCTTCTCAACCAAAGTAATTTTCTTTTTAATGGTGCTGAGAATGAAACCTAGGACTTTGCACATGCTATGCAAGAGCTACATCCCAGCTCTCAAATAAAGTAATTTAAAAATCTTATGATTCCAGTCCCATAGTCAATAATGCAGGAAATAAGAAGATTCTACCTTAAAATACTCAATTGGGAACTCAAAACACCAGTTCAGCATGTGTCACTAAATAAGTAATTGTAATACTAACACATTCTATTTTCCCCATAAACAAAATTAAGGAATTAAATTAAGACTTCCTATCATTCCAAGAGTTCAAACAGGATGATTTAAACAGGATGTTTAACAACTTTACAGAAATCTTTAATTGGTCCCAATTTATTCTTGGTTTTAAAAAAGGCAAAATACAGAAGAAGGTATTCGACTTACATTTAAAATCACTTAAAGCAATATATAACTCATTTTTTTAAATCATAAATATCTATAATCCATAAAATGTCTATTAAATAATTTATTATGCCCAAACTTAACATAATTAAATAGCTCAAAAGCAAAATATAAAGACAAATAAATCATACAAGAAGCTACAAAGCTAAAGGTAAACATTTATCCTTGGAAAGCTGTATCAAATAGTTGTCAATGCATATTCAAGAACTATATTATAAATATTAAGGGCAACTTACACAACATGTTTGCAAATCTTTGCCATAGACTGGTTCTGCTTCTTTTAAATGCTTATGGTACTCAAATAGGAATAGTGGGGTGGAACCAAAAGTGTTTCCAACACTCCACAACATCTTAAATATTATGATCATAGTTTATCCTCAATGCTTTATTATTGTTACTGAAAGTTTATAATTGGTTCATCAGTTACAGCCCACTTTTTATGGAAGAGTTTGTAACTGTCACTGTTATTACCTTTTACAGTTTAATTATGACTGGCCCCCAGAATGGTCATATTATTAAAGGCTTAATTGCCATTAGTGGACTTTTGCAGTGACTAGCTCCAGAGCTCTAACATAATCAATGGATTAATTCACTTATGAACTCATAATTCAATTTTGGGAGGTGATCGAAACTTTTGAAAGTGGAGCCTACTTGGAGGAAATAGGACACTAGGGGTTATGATCCTTGGGGAATATATCTTGTCCCTGGCCCATCTCTGTCTGTCTCTCTGCTTTCTGACCAGTGTAAGATAAGCACTTTCCTCTTACATGCCCCTCTACCATGATATTATGCCTAACCATGGCCCAGAAAAATGGAGCAAGTGGACCATATAACCTCTGAAATAATGACTGAAAATAAATCTTTCCTCTTGTTAAATTACTTCTCTCCAGTATTTGTCACAGCAACAAAAAAACAAGACAAACTGGTCAAAACACTTAGATATGCAGGTAGAGAAAATGAGGACTCAATCTTTTTTGGAAGCCTAGAAAGGTATAAATAACACTAATGAAAATGTACAGTTATGGACATTAAAATATTCTGTGTTTATTAAACACAGCACAATTTATTGAAAAAACCTAGAATAAGCCAACTTACCAATGAAATGCATTGTAGTAGAAGTAGACCAAACCAAGACCATATAAAAAGGCAGCATTCTGTAAGGCAAAGGAACTTTTAGTAAAAGTTTTTATATCTTCAACATATATTAAGGCAGCAAGTACCAAAGTTAATTTAAATTCTGAATATTCGATGGTGTATTATTGTATGTTTTAAAGAAACTATGAGTTAAACAAGTAAGAGAGAAGCCAAGTGACTTGGAGAAATATTTTTGCTTTTATTTTTGAATCAGCCCAACCTGAAGCAAAAGAAAAAAAAAAATCTACCAAACAATTATCTACAGAAAATTCAAAGTAATATTCAGTAATAAAAATCTATAGATTTTATTTTTCTATTCTCTCTTTACTGTAGCCCTTCTCTGATTCTTTCTGCTTTTTAAATTGCATCAATTTTATGTTCAAGGCTACAAGGAAACTAACTAGAATTAAAAAGAAATATAGAACATCACCTTACAATATCTTTTAGAATTAAAAGCAAAGTTTTTAACTCTCAAAGATCCTTTAGCTATTGAAACTTCATGTTTTTTAAACAACAATAAGTCTTTTCACAGCACTTAAGAAGAAGCTGCTCAGGCATGGGTTTACTAATACTACATTACTGGGGTTTTGTTGTTTTTATGTTGTCCTACCATCCATTTTAAACATAAATTGAACTTTCCAGTACCAGAAGCAAGGCTTATCTGCTCCTGACAGAGTTTCCAGTTTGCTATTTCCTCCCAACTCCTCAGTGGTATGCCTATGAGACAAGTAGATATAACCTACTTGATTCACCCAACTTTCTCCTACACCTGACATGAATTGATATGCCTACATGGGACACCTCTCAGTCACAATATGACTTCCTGGAATTTGGGCCTACTTACAATAAGACTTCCCAATTAGACTTCCCCTTTGGAAACATGGTTGTATATCCCAGCAAACACTGACCCCTTCACTCTCTCTTGCTCACCACCACCTATTGTTGTATCTTAATTGATTCCTTTCTTCCTGTTAACCCTGCAAATCATGCTGCACTGTTCTCTCTCTGGAATCTCTAATATGATGCTTCTACAGTTTTATGTGTTTTGTTGTGCTGCTTCCTGTGCCTTACATGATCTGATTCTCATAGAAATTAGTTTACAATCTTGGTCAGACAAAAGCTGCAAGTTCATTTGCTGGTATAACCAAGCTAGCTGCAGCAAGGACATCTAGTCATGAGCAGAACACATTGGCATTAAGCTATCTGCCAGGACAATAAAGTACCCCCAAAAGTCACCATAAAAATCCTTAAACATCTTCCCTGGAACTTAGCAAAACAAGACTAGAATGTGCAACTACACATTAAAGAGAGACATCAAAACCAAATCAGACCACAATTCCAAACAATAGCAAGCCATTCATCTGGACCACATAAAGCCAAGAACTAAGTAATTTTCTTGCTGTGTTATTTTGGCTTGGGTATCTCAGAAGTGCTTTGCAAACATGTGAGTGCAAGTACACTTACCAGGTACTTAGAAACTCCTTTTGCTAAAAAGCACTGACTCTCACAGGGGCCTACAAAGTAACTCAAAGCAAGATAAAAGCATGGCACATGCCTTCATTTTGTGTATGTCTCCCTTCCTTCCGGTCAGAAGGACGTTATATTAATTATTATGACTATGATACATAACCTATCAATTCCCCATTTAAGGCGAAAGGCACAAAGAAAAAAGTAACTAGAGTCGGACACAGGAGGTTCACACCTGAAATCCTAACTACTTAGGAGGCTGAAATAGACAGCACATGGTTCAAGGCCAGTCAGAACAAACACTGTGAGATCCCCCATCCCAAAGTAATCAGAGCAAAACAGACTGGAGGTATACCTCAAGCAGTAGCTTCAAGCCTGCTTTGTAAGCATGAAGTCATGATTGCAAACCCCAGTCCCACAAAAAAGAGAAAAAAAAAATGGTAACTGTTTATTTTATTGTCAGTTTTATAAGATCCTCTTTCACACTCCTGAAAAGTTACTTGGAAGTCTCCATTCACTGTCCTAAACCTGCAATAACACTGAAATTCCACAAACAGTGGATCCCCTAAGATAAGCTAAGGTTGACCTCCTCTAAAATTATTACATGGAATGTACTGTCCCTTCAAGTGACAAGTACTTCTCCAAAATCATCTTGCAGAACAAGTACTGAGATAAGGAGCAACCAAACCAAAAACTGACCAAATCTACTAAATTATGCATACCTCTCCCTCTCATCCCTGACACAATTGTTCCTCTATTTAAAGAAAAAGTTCATCTCTGCACTCCAAAGATGGGCTGAAATGTTTGATGATCTTCCCATTACAGTAATGTTGGTTAAAATTCTTTTCAATCTTTCCACTATTCCTTCTCTTCATGATTTCTGGGGCAGGTAGTTGGACCTAGTTTGTTGGTACTCCCTAGAATCTGGCCATAGAGCTAGGACTCCTGTTACAGAAAAACTTTATCTGGAGAATGATAAAACAGTAAGTAAAGGAAAAGAACCCCTCAAACAGAGCACTACTGAGGTAGGTACTGGCATAGGCATCAGATACTCAATTCTACTGAAGACCTTTGTATGACAATATAGAACACTACTCAAAGGGTAAGGGAGTTTGTAATCTCATCTCTCAATGACAACAGTCTTTGTAGCTACCCCATGGGAGAAAGGAGTGATACCAATTGTCCTGTACTTCATGCGTGCCACAGATAGCTTTATACTCAAGAGCTTACAAAGCCCAGAACTGGAAATAGCAAATAAACATAAGCAAGGCACAAAATTATCTCCTATAAACATGTTTTTATAAAATTATCCAACTTAGAAATAAGGAGGTTCAATAGAAGATACTCTTTCACTTATGAAGAGAGATAGATAATCATTTGTCTCTAGTAAAGAACTTCATACCTCAAAAGGTTATTAATTCTTACCAAAAAAAAAAAAAGATTATGGCCTGAGAAAGTTCTTTAAACAAGAAACTTACATGTTCACAAACAACAGGTAGTCGTGACAACATGGAATTTCCTTTAATATATAAGTTATTTCATTTAAATCTCTGTTTAACAAATGCTCTGTACTTTGAATGCTTCCCAAGTCTTCCTTGGTTAGTCAGTTTCTCATCACTGTGACCAAACACCTGAGAAAGACAACTTTAGGGAGGAAGGGTTTAATTTTAACTCATAGTTTCAGGTGTTTCTGTACACTGTACCCAGAGGGCATGGTAGAACTGAGCTACTGAACTCATGATAGCCAAGAAGCAGATCAGAGATATTACAATAAGAGGACAGGGCAAGCTATTACCCTTACAGACATCCCACACCTACTTCCTCCAACTAAGTCCCACCTATCATTGTTTTATAACCTCCCCATGAAGAGGAAGATAGCCTTGAAACAGGGTTGTAAAACATGATAAACTGTCAGTTAAAAGCTGTAACCTCAGACAGAGCTGTGAGGAATTGCCCATTGGAGCCAAGCAAAAGTTCAGGACTGAGATGAAAGGCACCATGCAGAGATAAGCACCCATTCCTGCCTTTCTTTGTCTCCACTTATAAATAAACTTTCCATAGCAGGACTCCCCTGCTGTTCTTATCTAAACCTTAGGTCTTTAACCCGCTACTAGCCCTACTTTATGGGAGAGCACATTCCTTGTAACCTGATGCCCTGCACTGCCTTCTAAATATCCTGTGAATCCTTTGTTCAGTGCTCAGACACAGGTACACGTCACAGCCCACTAGCTTAAAATTAAAATCTGAGTTCTCCATTTCTCTGAGTGCCACTTGGTTTCTCCTCTGACTATACTGCCCATAGTCTAATGAAATTTTGAAACCACCAATTAATAAAACCATTCATTAGGTCAGAACTTTCATGATCTAACCATCTCTAGAAACATTTTCATAAGCACACGGTGTGCTTTTTACTGATCTATGCATTTCTCAATCCAATCAAGTTAACAATCAAGATTAACAATTATACTTCCTAACTCAATCTTTCAAACTTAATTTAATTAGAACTAACAAATTTTCAAATGTCCATAAATCATATGTATTACAATTTAATTAATATTTTCTAATAGCCAACTCACACAATCATTTTACAAAATAAAAAGTTTATGTCACCATTATAAACAGATGGATAGTTTATCATTAGACATTAGTAGGAGAAAAAAAAAACACAAAATAAATACATAAAAATCTAACTTCATGTGTCTAGTAAAGAACTTCATACCTAATAAAAAGGTCATTAAACAAAGATGTTAAAAGATAGCAATTGATGAACTTCTTGACTCATGCAGAAGAACTAAAAGAAAACAGATCTAAAATATTAAATCATAAAACCATAGTTGGGCCCAGGATTTCCATTAACAAGGACAGTAACCACTAAATGATTACCCTACCTACACTTGCCCTAAGTACTTCCAAGCCATGATCCCAGATGAACCAGAACTAAGATCAAAGGAAATTACAGCAATTAGAAATCTTGAAACAATACTAAAACTCAGAAAGCTGCACAGAGAACCCCAGAAATCTGCAGAGGTTTGAATACTTGTTAAGGAAACTACCAATGCCAGGCAAAGAGTCAACTGAAAGAATCAGATATGACAATGTCCACAGAATAAAGATGCATGACTATTAGCAACAACCCAACTACAGAATATTACAGCTGTAATTCAAAAACATTTCATCAATGTAGATGGAGTTAAATTAGCAATACTTAGATTGAGCAATATTCAGTAGTTGTCTGAAAAATTATGTCACAACCTGAAACAATTGCCTAGAGAATCTGAGATTTAGGATTATATTCCCTGTTTTCCTATTGCCTTCCAGAAAGGACTTCAAGGAGGTTCCAAGCCAAGTCACCCAAAGAAAAGTGTGCTACCTATAGCCAAAGACCCATGAAAAGGGAAGCATACAACTGAAAATTTCCATTTCTCTAGACCATAATGGAGGTGAAAACAATATGCAAGGCTTAGGGGAGTGGCTCAAATGGCAGATCATCAACCTAGCAAGAGGCCCTGAGTTGAAAATCCCATTATCACCAAAAAAATAATAATAATAATCT